GAAGAAAGAAATTTAGAAAAAAATTTAAGAATAATTGAATTCTTTCGAGAAATTTTGTTGAAAATAATTTATTTCTTGCGAAAAATTAATATTAAAAATTGACTTGAAAGTATAGTTGAATTCTTACAAAGAATTTAAAAATAATTTAAATTTTGAGAAGAAATTTATAAAAAAAATTTAAAAATAATTGAAATTTTTTAAGAAATTTGATTCAAAATAATTGAAATTCCGGTGAGAAATTTATTTATTCATTTATTTAGTAAATGTATACATGCTTACAAAAAAATGCCCTTTAGTACAAATAGTACTTAGAATTTAATATAAGTATAAAAAAAGAGAATGTCTAATGAGACAATAATAAAAATAATAATAAGTGTAAGTTTTGAGCTAGCCCAATGGGAAATTTACTGGCGGAGTACTGCGCCAGCACTGGCAGTACTGGCAGCTACGCTGACAGACAGCACTGATAACTCTGGGATGATAACGCTGTCTAACGCTGGCGAAGTACTGCCTGCCAGTGCTGCCAGGCAGCGCTGGCACAGCACTGGACCAGTGCTGGCTGAGAATATTGCCGCAATAAATGCCGTATTGTTATTAATTGAGGAGCTGGATCGAAGAACCGGCTCTTCGCTCGGACCTCACGCGCTAATACCAGTCGGGTAGGAGTGAATGGCCCAGAGGCGCTCACTGTCACCCGACTGACATTAGCGCGTGCGGTCCAAGCGAAGAGCCGGTTCTTCGATCCAGCTCCTCAATTAGTCGTAAATTAATAATTATAAATAATTTAACAACAAAATGGTAAATAGTATTAATAAATAGTTATTATTCATAAAATATTTCTCTTCTTAAAGAAATTGTATTAAAGATGGAGACTAACAATGGAATGAAGTAAATGAAGTAGAAAAAAATTGTTTATAACATTTAAAAATTAAAAAATAAACATTTACAGTAAGTGTGCATTAGATTTTCATATTTTAGTACCTAACGATTGGAATCTAGAAATATCGCAAACCTATGAAAATAAACAAAATTGCTGACGAGGGGAATCGAACCTACGACCTACGGACTAACAGACTAACGCTCTAACCACTATGCTAACGACACATGTGTACAGTAAAGTATTAATATCTCAGTATCATTCAGACATACAATTATTGAGTCAAAGATGAGAAAAAAATAGGGATACGTTAGAAATAATAAATTGAAATAAAATAAATTAAACTAAATTTTTAATAATTAAATTAAATTACTTTACTTATTGCATTTATCATTTTACGTAATTCTTAAATTACGTGGTAATTTTTTAATAATTTTTTATTTATAGTAAGAAGTATAATAGTATTTTAATAGGAACCAAATTATTATTGAGATTAAAGTTTAAATTTTGTTTATAATTTTAATTTGTTTAAATAATTTATTATTTGTAAAATTCGACAATTGTGTTAAATTGTTATTATTAAATTTAATAAGAATAAAAAATGAACAACTGAAAAGTAAAATATTAATTTTTTTTAATAAATTTATATTTATAAACATTCCTAAACTTTTTTTATAATTAAAAAAACATAATAAATCGTCTGAGTACTAAGCCAGTGGTGAACATCGGCACTACACTGGCATTTCCCATTGGGAGGTAGCTAATTGTTTAATTTATCACAAATTTTAAGAATATTTGAATTTTTCTGACAAATTTTTTTGAAAATAATTAAATTCATGTTTAGTTGTATGAATTTAATTATTTACAAGAAAATTTCTAATTAAATACATTTGAAACTGTAATTTTCTAAAATTTCAATTTGAAACCTTAAAAATTCATTTATTGATGAAAATTGTAAACGTAACTTTTTTAAAATTTAATTAATTTTCAAATATTTAAGTAAAATTATTCATTAACTTATTTATATAAGTAATAATTTTCAATAGTTCTTTATGAATAAATTTATTTAAAGTAAATTATTGTCCACTGAGAAATCGATTTATTTGATTCAAACATATTTTGTAGAGATGTGCAAAAAGCTCGAAATGTCGAGCCGAGCCAAGCCCAAGCCGGCTCGATGTATCGAGTACTCGAAATTTTCGAGTACTCGAGTGACTTCGAGTACTCGGGTAAATTCGAGTATTCGATGAAATTCGAACACTCGAGTGTGTAATCAATAAAGTAAAGAAATCTTTAATTTCAAAGTGTATTTCTATTTGCTAAATATAATATATGCGAAAATTATATGAATTTTCTCTAAAACTCGAATTTACTTAAGAGCTCGAAAAAATTCGAGTACTCGAATTAAATCAAGTACTCGAATTCCCTCGAGTGCTCGAAAAATTCGAGTACTCGAAACTATTCGAGCTTTTTACACAGCTCGGCTCGAGCTCGAACTGATTAGGCTCGGCTCGGCTCGAAAAATGAAAAGCTCGAAAAAGCTCGATCGAGCTTCGAGCTTCAAGCTTTTTGCACAACTCTAATATTTTGTTTAAATCAAGCTTAAAATATATTTGCTATACAGTCGAACATATTTAAGTTTAACTGAAACATATTTTTTGGTTCATTTAAAGAAGTAGGTAATTTATTTAATTTAAACATAAGTTATGGTTGTTTTTAAATTATTTATAATCAACTTTTAAGTTTGAATCAAACATAAAATTTTTAAACATATTTTTTGTTTAAACGAAAACAGAAAATATGTTTGAATTAAACATAATTATTTTTCTATTTAAATTAAGTATAATGTTTTCTCAGTGTCAGAAATTTAAAACATTGAAGGTTCTGTACTGGAATTCGTGCAAATTTTATAGTTTATGCGAGTCAAGAAAAAAAGACACCAAAATTCAGTATTTTCTGATGAAGTGTAAAAATTTAATTTTTTCCAGTACTTATTTAATAAAATTTACTGATTTTTTCCTTATTTTCCTAACCAATGCTACTTTCCCTGAATTCCCTGATTTTCCTGACCTGTAGCAACCTTATTATTGATTGTGGAAAAAATTTGTTTTCACAAGTTAATTTCGAATATCTGAACTGTTAATCTAGTATAAAAGAGTGAGACTTTGTAACAGAGGACCCGTTATCTGGAACATTTGATTGGAAATTCAGATCTGTAGTACAGATTGGTCGATTTAGCATCACCTCTCCAATCAGTCGCTCGGTTTCACAGCATAGGAGTCTCTTCCCACGGATTAGAGGTTCTCCACTTCGGTTTCCTTTCATTCTCTCAATTATCGAATGTCGTGTTGTAAAAATGCGAAAATTTTCAAAGCACTCAAATCACCAATTCAAGACTTCATTAAATCAATTCGCTAATTTCATTCAATTATTCAATTGCTTTCCTCAAATTTCTTCGAAAGTCCGTGCAGTCGTTTGATTGTACACTATAGTTTTTTTTAATTGAAGCGTGTCATTTTTTCTTGTATAACAAAAAAAAGGACAAAAAATTCCCTCCAATTTATATTTCTCCGGTAAAATTATTTTCCCATTTAAAAAGGATCTTTTAAAAGGGAGAAAATTTAAAAAGAAATTTTGAAAAATTGAGGTGTGACAAAAAATCTTTTTACCTCTCGAAATATAATTTTTAATATTTATGCGATTAATTTCTTGACTCGCGAGAAAATTCTTGGAGTAGGAGCCAATCATCAATCAGCCACAGAAAGTTAAATGGTCGGGACAACGGGTTTTAATATCTCTCAGGGAGAAATAAAAGTTGGTGCGATAAATCAAAAGTCAAAAGTCACTAACTCACTTTACTTTCAGTCTCTTTTCCTAGAGCTGCCACTCAGCCAGGAGAGCAAAATGGCAACTGCGAATCTCTTCTCACACACTCTTCGTCTTTTCTCTCTCAATTTTCCTCCTTTCGAATCGACACTTCTCTCTAATGTCTCTCACTCTCTTCGGCAACTTACAAAAGTGATAAATGAATTTTCTATCCCCCTCTATTTATATATATATAGATATGTATATCTACACTATACAACTCGACCACATTGCTCTTGAAATCGGATAATCTTCCCGTAATAATCCCGTTGAGTGGCTCGATTATAGAAGTCGACCGTATCAAATCGATTTACGAATGCAGTCAATTTGCACCAGAGCGATTTACAGGGTACTTAACTATTCATCGAGAATTTACAATTTCCAACAATATGCGCAAAATCGCGAAATTCGTCCTACAGGGGAAGTTATGAAGAAAAGTCAAAACTATGTCCAACCCTGACTACTCTCCCCTAAAAATAAATTCAGTGATCGTATCGAATGTTGTTTGTATAAAGAAAGGTAAAAACATTTCTCAATAATGTAAAACTCTTTTAAAAAAGTGCCATAAATAAAATTTTTCAAATGGAAATGTTATTAAATTATCCAGTTAATATAATAAAATTTTTAATATTTAAACTTGTGCTGAGTATTTATTTTAAGCATACTTGAGTATGCCCACTAGTCAGCAGACAATCATTTTTTGGGCATTTTTGTGTTTAGGTGTTTTTGAAAATTCAATTATTAATTAACTATTTGTTTATTTATTAGAACATGTTCCTGGAATAATTAGTTAAGTCTCCCGTTAAAGTAAAAATATTTTAACTAAAATTAATTAATAATTAATAAGCGCTGATAAGTTAAAGAGTGCAATAAGAGAACTGAGATTAGTCGAAATTGAGAAATCTGGTGGGTTGAGTAAATGAGAACTTTCGATCATTTAATACAGGGCAAATGTGGGATGACGAATGTGGACAAATGTTGAAATTAGAAATAATTATTCCAGTATATTTACGGGTAAAATCTACTGCTTGTACACGTATGTCCTGAATAAAATATGATAACCAGTTAGGGTGGCCGAGCAGTCGGGAAATCAGACCGACCACGTGCGTTGGATCGCTAAATACCTTTCACGGTTTAAAGTTATAGTAACAGATGACGCAAATTCATACAACAAACCCACTTCCATCCATGCTTAATGTGGGTTCGGATAAATCTGTAGAGAAACTTTAATTTAAAATGAAACTTTTTTTTGTTACAGAGTCGCCTCCTCCAAGTACCAGTCCAAGTCCGCCCACTACTGAACTCGCAAAAAAGGGTAAGGTCAATTTTCTATATACTTCTTTATAATTCTTTTGTCTCATTATTATTTTCTTAACTACTGAATTAATATTACTCCTTTTTCCATTTTCTTTTAAATTTCATTAAATTTTCACACTTTTATAACCAGTGACCGTATTTAAAGATTCTACCAACAATCATTCAAGATTTCAATCATAAAATAATAATTAGATTTTTTACATTTTCCGAACGGTTTTTGAGAATTCAATAAATTTTATTTTTTATAATAACTTGTAACTGTAACTTTTCTTCTTTTAAGTTAAATATTTTCAAGAAAATATAATAGGTATGTCTCAGAAATGAAACTAAACATAACTATAATTTATATATTTAATTTGTTCGGCATCGGTGATTCATACCTGATTTATTCACAGAGTCGAACACTCTGATTTCAAGGGACAGGTTTTAAGAAAGAGTAACTGTTTAATTGAAGTTATATTATTAAAGTTTTTATTTGAATCCTTTACAATTAGAATGAGAGAGAAAGAGTAGATCCACATGTCATGTCTTCAGGGATACTGAAACAAATACGGACTTTGTAGAATCAATCGAGAATTTAGATGGGGACTAATTATAAAAGTATTAGTTACTTACTTTTAAATATTATTATTAGAGTCGTAAACCCAACAGGCGATACCTCCTTCAGTGTGAAGTCGAAGCAATGACGTTGTCTAGTGGGAAACAGAATATGAAGTAGATTCCTTCGAATTGTTTTCGGGCCAGCCGAAGTGGCAGGTCCGGAGTCCAGGTGTCGAATTATTGATTTGATGTTGAAGTCGAAATAATGCAGTCCTTAGCAAATAGAAACGTGCCTCGTATTAGAAATTATCTCCTTGATTAAATTCTTCTTGAATGAACTTAACTGAGACTTGAAGAATGCACTTGGTACTTGAAGAGTTTTTTGGAACTGGAGTCGTAGAATAAACTCGATGACGATACGTGTATCGTCATCGAGTTTATTCTACGACTTCTTAACTTGGTGGCGATTTCTGGAGTAACGAAGAACGCATGTTTCTGTTCGAGGGTGACTTTTGGACTGATACGAAGAAGACGCGAAGTGAGAACTTGCGTCTAGTTAAGTTGAAGGCTCTTCCCGGACTAACTAATTCGGCGAGGGTGGCCCCTTATATAGTTTCCTTCCACAAGGGGAATTTTATGTTTTACCACCCACTCTTACTACCTCTGGGTTAAAGTGATAAAAAATGTATCACATGTAAGTGGGGAACCAATAGAAAAATGACAAGATAGACATGACCATATTTGGCGTTCGCTAATCAGAGAAAGACTTCTTCGGATCAATACTGCGTTGATTTTGGTAACTGTTTTAGACAGTTCAGTAACCTTATAGAAGGGTGACAATCGTGGATGACCATATATAGAAAAATCTGTCCAAGATGACACACATTTGAATTGATGTGTTTGGGTTACAAGAAAAAGGGAGGATTCAGATTCTAACTTTACAAATATCAAAACAAATACGTCGCGATGACGTGACATAATAAAGAAATTCATAAAATTAATTTTTTTGAAATATTGTATTTAAATAATTGTTAGAGATTAATAGTTGGCACCGCAAACTAAAAATTTCAAAAAAACGAAACTTGTGCTGAATTGGGCTAGGTTTGTGCCGCAAAAAGTTTTTTGAAAAACTTTATATTTTTTCCAAAAATCAACAAATAGTTTAATAATAAAGTAATAGTTTTCCAATTAAATAGAATTGAAATAGAATTGAAATTTTAGTAAGTCTAAAAAAGTAAATTTTAAATTTACTTTGTTGTTTGAAGATAATTAATTCTTAAAAAATTTTGATAAAATAATTGTTTTATGAAGAAGAATAAGAATAAGTTTTTTTTAAAAATGTAATGTAATTTTTTGAAAATAATTGATATTCTTACTAAAAAAATTTCTGTATATGTAATTTAAAAAAAAACAAATTTTTTGAAGAATTTTAATTAAAAATTTTTAACATCCCAGTAAACAAAAACTAATTGAAATAAATTAAAAAGAATTCAGTAAGAGTTTCAGTGAATCCCGCTTTGGGACAAATACGAATTGGAGCTATGTTGCAATTTTCCTGAATTCGTCAAACTACTGTATTGAACTTCCAAACCTTCTATTCTTACTAATTCAATGGACAAGTTTTGAGGCCTTTAATTTTTTTTTAATTCGTCACCACGAATTCAATGCATGCCTTGGTCATTTCTTACGAATGCGAATTCGTTTGCACAACTTCAGGCAAATTGAATCGAATTCAATCGAATATACAAAGAGCTTGAATGAATCCCGCTTTCTACCAAAAATCTTAATTTATTTCAATCCGTTTGAATTAGTTTTTTTTTACTGGGATGATTGTTTTCTCCAAAACGTTAAAAATAATTCTGTAAAATTTTAATGTTACGTTTATTTTTTTATTTGATTTTTCGTAAATATTTAATTAAAAGTATTGAGAGTATAATTGAATTTTAACAAATGAGAATGATCAAATTCTAAGATTTACTTTTTAAAAATATTTTAATATAATTTTGAGAAGCTAATTATAATTAATTTTCATTTTTTTCTAAAATAAAAAATTTTTTAAGCAAATTTGAATTTTCGTTTTTTTAAATGTAAAAATCGATGTTATCAAAAACGGCTCCGGCGATTATTTTAATTTTTGTTGTAAAATCATGTGTTCACACTCCAGAATCGAAATTAAGAAGAAAATCCCAGATGCCAGGACAGGGTGTCTACTAACCGGGAAATAACCGGGAATTTTATTTGACCGGGAAAAACCGGGAATTAGCCGGAAATTTTATACCAAACCGGGAATTTTTTTACCAAAATTAAAAAAGTTTTATTATTTTAATTTGTTTTTAAAAAATCACTTTTTATTTCAATTTTTATAGGTATTTATACTGTTCTCTAAATTTAAGTTAGTTAAAAATAATTAATTTGATAGTAAAAAGTCAATTCGACTGAAAATATGTAATTAAATTTGTTAAAGAATTTCATTAGAAACTTTTTAACAAATAGAATTTTCAAAGTATTTGAATTTAATAATTGATTAATAATTGAATATTATAAAGAGTTAAATTCTAATGTATTCATGTTTCTTACTGCGAAGATTAATAATTAAAATTTTTATTAGTTAATTTAAAAAAATATACATACTTAAAATTGTTTAATAAAATTGAACTTTCGCAAATTTTTTTTTTTAATTCTGCAAAATAAGATTGTTGTAATTTTTTAATTCTATTGTTTCAAGATAATTGAATTTTTCTAAACAAATAATTGAAATTTGTTTACATTTTTTGAAAAATAATTGAATTCTTTTAAAGAATTTTATTTAAATTTTTCGAAAATAATCAAGGGAAGTTAGTGACCGTAATTATAATTTAATTTAATTTTAAATTTCTGATTAAATGTTTATTACTTATTCTTCACAAGAATTAAATTATTTTAATAAATAATATAGCATTCTTTAGAAAGAATTCAATTGTTTTTATAAATAGTGAAATTTTTTTGCAGAAATTCAATTATTATCAATATAATTTTAATAAAATTAAAAAATCAAAATTTCAATTATAATTATAAAGAGACAAGATTATTTTTGAAAAATTAAAAAAATTTAAAGATTTATTTATTTTCGAAATCAAATTTAAATTTAAATTTAAATTTGATGAGAAAAAAAACCGGGAAAAAATTTGGACATAACCGGGAAAATCCGGGAAATAACCGGGAATTTTGTTGAACGAAAATACTAGACACCCTGCAGGACTTTTGGGTTAAATGAGTTTAAAACGCACCGTGATGGGTTTCAAAAAAAAAAAAAACGTGAAGAAAAGTGAAAAAATCGACTTCGAAAATTATCGTGTAAAACAAAGCTTTCATGAAAAAGAAATAAAATAAATTAATAACAATAATTGAAATGAAATAAAAAATTTAAAGAATATATTTTCAAATTCATATTTAAAAAAAGTCAGAGCAAAAGTAGATATAAAAGTGGTTTTCTTTTCTTTTGACGATTAATTACCAAGTCCGGTCAACTTCATTAAAGATTAACCAGAATATGAGACAGTTTGAGACTCATTATCATCATTAAACCGCGTATCAGCTATCACTATCCTTACCTGAAATCTGCGCATGTGCCAATAATGAACTGAAGATAATGAAGTTGCAAGGTGATCTTTAACCCTTCCGCATGTAATGTTAAAGTGTCTCTCTGCACACCAGGTATTCTGAAAAAAGAAATTATTGACGCCTTTATATATTTTTTATTTTTTAAATTCACTTAAGAGAATTTTCTTGATACTTTTATCAGTATTGACAAGGGATTGTGGATATCTTTTCCTTTGGCATGTAATTTTTCACAATAAAACTTTTCAAAAATTCATGTCTCAAGAAAGATTGCTAGGTCGTAAAATTTTTTGAAAATTTAAAATGTTTTTATTTCCCTTCATCTATAATTAATATTTCTCGGACATAAAAGATTGATTAATAATTCATTTATAATAAATAATAATGAATGAAATTTTTAATTTTAAAACCTATGGCATAATAAATAATTTTGATATTGTATAAATTATTTTATGACAATAAAAAACAAAAGGCTTTTTTTCAACTTTTTATTATTATTATTAAAGTTAATTTTTTTCATGTTTTAGAATGGGAGGTTCTTACAGAAATGAATAATTCTGTTTATGGAAATCCCAGCTCGTTGACAATTCAAAATGATAAAAAGAAAGGTAAGCTTGAGATTATATTTTCATTGTCCTTAACATTATCTAAAATTATTACAAAATGAATTTTTAATATTTGGATCAAAATGTACATATATTATTTTAAGTTAAAACCATAATTGATTTTAGTACTAATTTATTATACCAACCCCACATAACGATTACTGTACTTCCCCCGAATCGATTTCCCCGAATGTCAACTTTACCGAAATTTTTTTTTATTATTTCGCGGGTTCGAACACGAAATTAACTACTTTTCATTGTACTAATTCAATTTTTAGAACTCTAGACTCTGAACGTAAACAAGAACGACTTTCTCTCTAAATCTGAATTAGTAAAAATGTTTACTAATTTGAATTAGTGACTGACTTTTTGCTTTTGAATTAGTAAATTTTACTAATAAATTAGTAGAAATAACTATTTAATAGTAAAATTTACTAATTCAAAAGCAAAAAGTCAGTCACTAATTCAAATTAGTAAACATTTTTACTAATTCAGATTTAGAGAGTTTATTTGTATTTCGTATTTGGACACGATACGAAAATCTTACACACATTTTATTTCCGTGTCCTTGGCCCGAAACGAAACAAAATTATTTTTAATTTTGATTCCGTTTCCGAACACATCCCTGGTGAGGATAGACGTAAATGTGTAAAAATACTGTTTATTTTCTATTTACTATCTATTTTATTTTCGGGATGTTGTCTGTTCGGTAAAGTTGGCATTCGGGGAAATGTCCATTCGGTCAAAAAGATGTTCGGGGAATGGTCGGGTTCCCCACATAACCTTTGAGTGCGGAATCCAAGGTATCACCTTCACATTAAAATATGTATTGACCGCAGTAATATATGTACATAATTGGAAAGTTTGTTAAAATTATTTTTTGGCGTTTTATTCATTACGCGAAACAAATTAAATTGAAGCAAAAGTACACAAAGTTTTATAATTAAAGCGTTGATACATGTTTCATTGTGGTTAGTTGGTAAAGCAATTGGTTTCATTTGGAAATATTGATTTAACAATGTTTACAGTGTATTATTCCTCATAATAATTGGACGAATCATGTGATTCGAAGCATTAGCATTATAGGACTTGATATTTGCATAATTAAAAACTTACTTCATTACTATTTTACAGTGTATTAATCAATTCATTTAAAGTTATTATTAATTAATTATAACAAAAAAAGTATGCTTTATTGATTTTACTTTTATTTTATAATTTAATTAATTAATTTTCATTAGCATATACAGAATTCATTTTCCGAAATATAATTTGTGATAATTCGTTACTATACTCAAAGTTGACACAAAAATTTAATTTTGTTTTTCCCTGACCTTTCCCTGATTTCCAGATAAGATTTTGACGTTTTCTCTAACCCTAAAGAATATTCTCATTCACTAAATAAAATAAATATTTAATCATTATTATTTTTCCATGGGAACTAAGATTTTTAAAATTTCTAATTCTAATAATATTAGGAATATTATTATAAAACATGAAGATATCTATCACTCCGAGTCGAAGACAATATTCTTATAAGAATATTGAACTTCTTCAAAATTATTTTCATCATTTCAATTCAATTATTATTTTCTACAACTTTTAAATAAAATTCTTTTTAAATCAATTCTTTTTAATAATTTTTGAAAAACTTAATATTGAGAATTTTTAAATCCATTTGTTTTCAATTAAGATTTACCTAAAGGAGCCATTCAAGTATTACGTAAGCATATTTTTTAGGTTTTAAGACCCCTCCGTCCCCCATGTAAGATTTTTTATATGCATTAGCGCCATTTTTTCTAATGGAAATAAGCAATAGCTAGACCCCCCCCTCCCCCTTAAATGCTTACGTAATACTTGAATGGTCCCAAAATTTCGATTATTCGGATTTAATTCAATTATTTCTAAAAATTGCAATTATTAGTAACTTCTCAAAAATTCAATTATTATGTAAAACTTTAACTGAAATTAATTTTTAAATCAATTTTTATTAGAAAATTTTACAAGAATTCGATTATTTAAACGTAAATAATTTATTGAATAGTTTAATGTGTCTTCAAATTTAATTTTTATACATAGGTAATTTTATCAATAAATTTTTAAATAATTTATTATTTAAACACAAACATAAATAATTTATTGAATAAGTGAATGTGTCTTAAAATTTAATTCTTATACATAATTTTATTAATAAATTTTTAAATAGAGGAGAGTACGCTACATTGAACCAGGTTTTTTTATAAAGTCCAAGAACTAATTAAATTTTACAAATTTTGATCAGGTTTTTGTATGAAAACAAAACTGAAGTACTCCTTTAGTTAATACACACGTTACAAACACAAATTATTATGATTAAATAATAATTTAATTTAATTTTTTTCTAACCAGTTACACTTTTATTTTGAAGAATGTGTGTCTACATTGAACCACCTCTAATAAAACACTACAATTTACTTCGAAAATAATATTTCCACTTACAGATTGTAAAAAATCTTATTTTCCACTCGAAAAAATAGAAAATTGTTGTTAAATATTTAATATTTGTTAATATAGGAGTTTAATATATTTCGATGTCAGGTTAGGTAGGAAAAGTGAGAGTTTAAGTTTATCACGTTGACAATTGTAATGAAAGCATATCTTCCAGTATTTTTCTTACTAGATAGTAGAGCAGACAACTTTACCACTCTTAAAATTGAAAATACGCTGTAAATTCGGATGGTTCAAAGATTTAAAATTCTTTATCACATCAGAATATTGAAGTTGACACCCTAAGCGAAATAAATCACAAGTTTATTAATTTTTAAAACTTCCTATTTCAATAAAAAATCGTCATTATAATTCCACCAAATTTTTTGTTTTGTACGTGAAAGACAGTTTTTTTTAGTTTAAAAAATAGTTTTAAAATAGTGATTTTTAATTTTTTTGTGTCACGAATTTTCCAAAAATATCGAAATTTCAAATTAATTAACGTTTCCTCGTTTCAGTAGTCATTTTTTTCTTTTGATAATTGTTTATTCTGGCATCAGGCGTTATTTTAAAAAAATTTCAAGTCATTCCAAGTCGGGGAAAGCAGTGATTTTTATTTTTTTTGTCGAATTTTTTCCAAGAATTACGAAATTTCATTTAAAAAAATCAAAATCACTGCTTTCCCCGACTTGGAATTACTTGAAATTTTTTAAAATAACGTCTAATGCCAGAATAAATAATTATCAAAAGAAAAAAATGACTACCGATGCGAGGAATTATTAATTTAATTGAAATTGCGTGATTTTTAAAAAAAATTACTTGGGTTAAAAGTAAACAAGAAAAATTTGTATCCTGAGAAATTTTTTTTTTTAAGTTTTTCATTGAATCAACGTTGGTTACTTCAGTTTCATACCTATGGCAACCATGTATACTGTAAATGGAGACTAATTAACAAATTATTTTTTGATTTTTGGGGTTTTTTAAAATGCAAATGTTAATTAACAATTTTATTCATTGGAACATGTTCCTGGAATAATTATACAAGCCTGCAAAAAAAAAATAATAATTTTCTACCAGTTAAATCCGACGTGCTAGAGACTTGTCATAGGAGTAAACTTTAAGCTTGAACCCTCTACTTTACGAAGATATATAGCGATTTTGCCAATAACGAACTAAATTAGCTGTCAAAAACGATTTTTTTAAAAGTTGGTATAATATAATAATATAATAATATAACTGTTTTAGAAAAGACTTGGATTCGCTTAGCATTTGTTACTCGGGGGTTTTCGAGGTCGCTTATTTCGCATATGATGTCAGATTTTCAAAATTTTAAATGTTGGATCCAATATGGCGGACGACTTTTTAAAATCGATTAAATTTGCCTGAAACTCGTTACCCTATGACAAGTCTCTAGCACGTCGGATTTACCCGGTAGAAATTTTCAAAAACTGCGAAAAATATGATTTTTGGGAATTTACCCCCACTTTTCTCAAAATCCTGACGTGATGGGAGGTTTTCGTTGCCAGATTCGGATTCAGCGCACCAAAAAATTTGGAAAATAAATTTTTGTTTTTTTGCAGGCTTGTGTTATTTCTTTCGCAAAAATTAAAAGACATCATAAATTATGGTTAAATTGTTGAGAAATAATTTTAAAAATGCGTATATTTATAAATTATAAAAAAAGGAAAAGAGAGACGAGATGAATAGAGAGAAATAAAAGAGAGGAAGGAAGGAGTGTGACAAAGGGAGTTAGAAGAAGAGAGAAGTGTACAAGCTTGTTCATAACGGAACCCACGGCCAGAGACTTTGTTCAAGAGGGGTTGTAACATCAATATTTCATATATGCTAACAACTAGAACTAATAATGCTTCAGCAAGGAAGACCCAAGAATAATATCAGCTTCCGTATTTCCACATTCTCTTACTTCCTCTTTCTCGCAGTATGGTTTCATCTTTCCATCTCGCTCTCCCTTTATACTTTCCTCCTTTCCTAGTGGATTATTCTCAAATAAGAGGAAGCAGATTTCGGTTTTCTTTATATTAAATTATGTAATCTTATCATTTCCAATTTGGACATTCAACTTCTATTTCTAACAATTATTATATTAAATCAGATAAATTCTATTTGGTATTTGTAATAGCAGCAAATGTAAAAATGAGAAAGAAATTAAAAATAATAGTTTGCTGCGTGGGACAAAAATAAAGTATATACTTAAATCAGTTAATGAGACATAAAAAGGCGATTAGTTGACTTGTTTGTTAGGGACTTTTTTTCGAGGCTTTCCTTTGTCGTTTCATTGAAGGGAAAAGTATGGCGTAAAAGAAAACCTCGACAATGTGGCAGTAAGTCGGTGGAATGGCTTATGTTTCTGAGGTCGGGGCACGTTGAGGGTTGAGGTTTGTAATTGGCGCAACATCTGCGGTCTGTGGGGTGGCATTAATGTTACTCCCTTATATACAGATATAGCCCAACCTTTGTTGGGCCACTGTATTCACGTTCAACCACAACGATGCAAATATCTCAACACCTACGTACAT